GAGAAAAACTGGATTGTGCGGGTAATAAACAGGAAATAACAGTTAGCGGGCATTGTCAGATCTGCTTAAGAGTATGTATACATATATATATATACATACCCTCAGCCTCTAACATTCTTTCGTAAAACTACATTATACCCTATTTCCGTAAATTGCAATAGGTGCGGGCTGCAATTAGAAGCACAGCGTTAGCTGAGCGCCAAGAATGTAATTAGAAAGTTGCCCAGAACAGTTTTCCGTTAACATGCAAAACGCTGAAGAGCATTGTAGAAATTCGCTTTAATTCAATTTACAATTTGCATTAAATACAAGTCGAGGAGCAAAATCAGGAGAAGTAGCAGCTCGAGTGCAATCGCTGCTTTTAATGAGCTACAAACTTAATTGTGATGAGCTGCAGTCACGCACCCAGGACCAGGGCGCGTGTGCCCCCTAGGAGCTGCTGCACATGGTGAGGCCATCGCCCAGACAGGCGCTGTAGGCCATCATGTGCGGAATAGTGCTCTGCTCGTAGACGCCGGTAAACAAATGGGACCAGGGGCCCGATGCATAGACAAGCACATCGTCGCCGCCATGGGTTTCCGAGTCTAAGGGCACGCCCGCGGGGAATTCATCGTCACTGCTGCCAGTGATCAACGTGGTGGGATCAACGCGTTCCTTGGTCTCAGCTTTATAGTAATTCTCTGCACTGGGTCCATTCGCATAGCTGAGTATCATGTGGGGTATGCCGTCATTGCCGGTAGCCGGCGCCTTGCCGAAGACATCCGCGCCGCGATACTGCGAGAAGAATAGCAGGACGGTAGAGATTAAATAGCTTTCATTTAGTTAAAATTAGTATCAGCCGGCTTTGACCGGGTATCCAATTAGGTTTAGACATGGATGCTCACCCCATAACCCGCATAGCTGAACGCATGCGAGTGATCCGCGGTGACCACCAGCAGGGTATCCTCCTCGCTGGTGAGCTCTCGGGCCGCGGCAATGGCCTTGGAGAACTCGATGGTCTCGTCGAGTGACAGGCGCGCTAGATTGTCGTGGTGGCCGTGATCGATGCGACCGCCCTCGATGAACAGGAAATAGCCCTGCTCGTTCTGGCTCATGTACTCGATGGCCTTGCGCGTCATCTGCTCGAGTGTGGGCTGTGTGCTGCTTTCGTCGGTATGCATGTGGTACTGCAGATGATCGTCCTGGAACAGGCCCAGCAGACGCCGTGGCTGCGTCACATCCAATGCCATCAGCTCGTCCACTGTGGTCACATAGACATTCTCGGGACTCGCCGCCTTGAACTCCTCAATCAAATCCCGGCCATCTGTTCGCTTGCCCCAATCCGCCAGACTCTGGTCCACAAAGTTTTTGCGACCGCCGCCCATGATAAGCTTCAGCTTGCTGCCCACCTCGCCATTGGCCAGCTGATAGGCAATATCCTGGACACCGGAGTCCGCGCCACAGTCGGCGGCAACATCCGCATCATTTTCCCAGTCACGCTCCGCAATGTGCGCATAGACGCCAGCGGGCGAGGCATGTGTCACCCGGGTGGTGGTCACCAGGCCCGCCCATTTGCCCGCATCCATCGCCCACTTGGCAATGGAGTCGACGTGTGTGCTCTCATCCAGCATGACCTTGCAGTCGGTTCTGGGCACGGCGCCATTGACGCCAATGGTACCCTCCTGGGCCTTGACACCGCACAGATAGGCGGTGGCCGTGCATGCCGAGTCGGGCACAGTCAGATCCACCGAGTAGGTCTTGGACAGACCCGTGTAGGGAAAGTGATCGAAGGACAGCGACTGTTCCTCGCCGCCCAGCAAATTGCGCGCCGCCGAGGTGGTTGTCACGCCCATGCCATCGCCCAAAAACATGATCACATTCTTGGCCTTGCCCTGGTTTAGCTGTTCGCCCAGTTTTTGCTTCACAAACTGCATGCCCTGCTCCCGCCAGTAGGCTGTGCTCTCCTCGCCATCCACTCGGGGCTTCTGGTGCCTGGGCTCCGGCATAGACGGATGCATCAGCCGATCCTGGCAGTATTCGGCACTGCGCGTGCATTCAGGCGCCGCCCAACCGCACCCACTGAGCAAACCGATAACAATCACGACGTTTGACAGGAGCAACATCTCGTTCAAGACTGAGGCAATTGCTTGGCTGGGCTTGTGTTTGCCCGTGGCCCGCAGCTAGCCATTTGCACGACTTCCGATTGCGATACGGATAAGATAGGCGGCACATGGCACTGGACATGGCCAAATCGACCGCACAAATCTAATGCGTCGATAATCCCCCCCTTTCCACAAGCCACAGTCCGCCGACTCGTGCGCTTATTTATGGCCAACTACGAGAGTTTATGGATTTATTATGTTTTTTTCGGGTTCGCTACTATAACAAAAAAAAGCACGTGAAATGTTGCACGGTACAAAGTCATCAAAATGCTCATTTGATATCCAAAAATCTGGCTGAGTGAAATACCTTATCAGATTAAAGAATCTGACTGAGTTGTTTCTTACGCGTATTAACTTTATATTAAACAGACGAATAATATATAATATATAACTTAACTATAACTAGAGCAAGAGCACTTGACTAGCATATACCCTGTATTGGCTTGGAATTGGGTTAACGAATACTTTAAAAAATCGATAAACATCGATTTCGGATAAATAAAAAGAACTTGGAGGTGGATGATGCACTTGCACAGCTTCAATACACTCTTTAAAATTTATATTTAATAGACATTGGGTATATACGAATCAGAAACTATAAAATAATACAAAGTTGCATAGATATTTTTCGATTTAGGGAATGTAAGTGAAGGTATGAGGTTTTTTCGATATATCCGTTGAATTAAGTGGTCGAAAATTTTTTTAAGACTACTTGCAAACTCTAATCTACCCAAAACCAAAATGTTGGTTAGATGCAGGGTATTAAAATAAATATAAAAATCAAGTTATAAATTAGAAAAAATTCCTGGAAATTGAACAACAAATTGATTGCTTGTATTTAAACCAAAACTAATCTAATCAAAGCAGCTTAAATCACTTGCACTTATTTCTATATATATATAAAATATATATATATAGCTATATATATATAAATTTATAAATAAGTACACATATGTATTTCATACAATATATATCACAGTGAAACTAAACATGCTTAGTGCGAAGCGCTTAAATTTCAAGCGAATTTCGTATAGAGAAGCTGTACTGTACTTCTCGTGAATAACCGCATTTCATTTATATGACTCGTAAAAATTGTTAGCCATAATGAAAAGTTGACCACGCACGTTGCAGGCTCAAAGTTTGGCACACGCCCACGCACACTCGCACACACGCAGCAACAAGTTTAATGAAAAACATGCTTTCGCAACGGTTTTTCCCTGCAGAAAATGCAGATAAAACAACGAATTAGAAACAGAAATAGAAACCACACGACCAAAACTCATTTGGCTTCAGAGCAAAAAAATAAAAATAAATAAAACAGAAAGGTGAAAGGTTGAAATAAATGTTAAAGTTGGCGAATGCCAAAAGAAAAGTGCGCAGAATGCCACTGCAGAGAAAAGCACGCACCTGTAGAAAATGGCAGTTTGCTTTTTGCAAAAATAATTACAATTGCAAAGCTAAAAATATAAAGTTTCAGTTTAATCAGTTAAAACACTCAAAAACTTAGTTAGATGCGCTCCAACTTTAGTGTTTGGCAACTTCGAGTTCTCTTATCGGGCCAACAAATTATGTCCGCGGACCAAGAGCAAACAACTTGTGGCATTTAAGATAGCTAATTTGGGCACAGCGAATATTTAATATTCTTACAGATATATCGTAACTGTTTTGCTTACAAAAATTCCCTTTTCGACTAAATCGTCTTTTAGATCTTCATGATAAAAAGGTCAAAAATAAAAAGTTCAACGTCTTTTTATGATATATAAGAAAGCAAAAGGCTGTTTTAAGCAAGAACTTTATGTTTGACTAATCATTTCCATGGCCAATTTATTATATACGTAGTCCGATTATAATAGGATTGTGCCTATAATATATCTATGGCAAACTATTAAATGTAAAGTTTGGCTTAGATATATTAGAATATATCAATATTTTACATTGTTAGGATTTCGAGCGATCATTCCTATGACAGTTATATTACATAGTGGATCGATATTCATAGGATTTCGCCTATATATGTGGAAAATAATAATTGACGAGCTTGGCTAAGATATCTTACGAAATAAAATAGTATTTCATGCTATAACTTATTTTTCGAACGATCATTCCAGGGGGAGATATACGCCCGACAATGACATATATACCACAAATACATATTTCATGACAAGAACTTGAAAGCTGGGAGGCAAGATTACTCGGCTGTTGATGCTGATCAAGAATGTATATAAATATATATATACGCTTTATGGTGTCGTAAATGTCTTTCCCTATGCATTAAACGTTTCGTTATAAAATTATTATACCTTTTGCAAGTGTATAAAAATGGGCTTGCGTTCGGTTTGGCACGTTGCCAAATCAAATGAAAACAAAGCGAACTTGTCTCTCCTCCTCTCTCTCTATTTTTGTTCCCTCTCTTGAAAATGCTCGAATAATTCACTTGCTACGAAACATTTTGTTGCACAGTTGAATAATGCACATATTTATGAGTACACATTGCGTATACGTAATTTTCATTTATTATTTTCAGCTACTGGGCTGGGCAATTGATTTTCTTGTTGGGGTGTAAGGAGTGAACATTAGGAGGGCAATAGGAGGGGGGGGGGGGGGCTGTGCATTGTGACAATCTTGTTTATGCCGTCCAATAAATTCCAAACATTGCTTTGGAGTGTCAAGATTGCGGCCATTTAGTCAAGGCAAAGGCCATTAATCAATGTGGCTCTTTGTTCTGGCCCAGTTGGGCGCAATGGCCGTGCCTTTAAGCCAAATTCAAGTTGCTTTTTAGGTCATTTGGCTTGTCACTAACTTAATTTGATTTAAATCGCCACATTGTAATTAAAATCCTGGTGCCTTAATCCATTGCAGGCAATATATATCCATACCAATATTGGAGGAGAGCAAATATCAGAAGGATGTCAAATTCAAGATGCATATTGGCGAACCGCGACTGGCGCCAGGTAAGTTGCCAACCGGGCAACCAAAAACACATTAAAACTCAATTTAATAGCACAGAAAGCAGAAACCCAAACATAATACCCCCCACACCCGTTTTCCCAAACACAGTCCATGGCACACAATTCCCGACACCTCAGTGTCTGTGTGTGCGTGTGTGAATCTGTGTGTGTTAGTGTGTGGATGTGTGTGTGTGCTTATGTGTGTAACTGTGTGTCCTTACAAAGCAAACTCAATTTCCTGTTAACCAAATTACACGAATTTACAACGCATGGAGCTGCAGCGGCCGCAGGATTGGGCAACATGATTCAAGGAGCAGCCTCTAGAAGTGAAAGGAAAATGGGCGCGCATTTTCTTTACTGTTTTGTTGCTTTCATAATAAAGTTAATAGGCCAATTTGAGCTGTTGGCAAGGAAATAACCGCAGCTAGGATACACACACACACACACACACACACATATCCATAAAGAAAAAAAACACACACACACACCCACATTTATCTGGCATTGAAAATTGGCAATTCCAATTTGAATGATTTGAAGGACATTTGATACCAATATCCAATATCTCTCTTGTACACACTCCGATCCTGACTTCGTTTGATTTCCTTGTATACTTTTTGGTCTTTTCATTTGTTCTTTGTGCTTCTAGATTCCGCTCACTACCGTAAGACTTGAATTGTGCATTAATTAATTTTATTTGAATTGAAAACGAAACGAAAAGAGAAAAAAGAGATAACAATTCTTGGGTTACGATTCCTTAAGTTCTAAACTCGAGTTTTGCACAGCGTTAAATTTCATTTGCGGCAATTGCGAACAAAAAGTGCAAAATTGTATTTTTTCTTAACCAGATAACAATGAAGAAGATGGCAATATTATAACAACCCTCAGTTTAGTTATGTGTTTCATTTGGTGTTGTATGTTTTTTATCCCCCTTTTTGTTGCTGTAGAATCCTTTTACCTTGTTATTATTCCTATTGTTGGCTAGGCAACGGGGCGGGTAAAAAAAAGGGGGCAAAATGATTCATGTAAACCTTTCTGTTAATATCCAGCCCCCTTATTATTTTAAATTAGCAGCTGCCGGCCTTGTTTATATAATATATTTATCACAGCACGACTAAACCAATGAGAATTCATGTCGAGTTGTTTATAAGTTGTCCATTTCCCAATAATTACCATAGACTATGCCCCGAAATGTATTGTACTAGATTTTTATGGACCCCATTTTGAGTAGCTCACGTCAATTTCCCAGCCCCAAGTCCCCTTTTCCCTGCACTTGTCATTAAAGTAAATCTTGGTTTTTCTTTTTCTATTTGTAATTAATTTTGTAAGTATTTAATATAAGTATTTGAATCACATCATGCATTTAATTAACTCTTGAACAAAACTAATAAATTCCTGTATATGTGTATGTAATATTTGAAATCACACAACAACAACAACAACAACAACAACAATGCAACTATCCTCACGCAGATGACACAAATCAGGAATCATTTTTCAATCGATTTTTTGGTAGGTAAAAGTCTTTTAAGCCCTTAACCATTCAAATCACAAGTGTAATGTTCAGTTAAAAGAAAAAAAAAATGTGTTATCAAAAGAAAAATTTACACAAATTCGGGGGCTTTTCATGTGCTGCATTCTACTGCAAAAAAAAAATTCATTACATTCTGTTCGTTTTTTTTCAAGATTTATACATTTCTACGTTACATAAATCATGGCTGCTATCCGAAAGAGAGAAACTAAATTAGTTATTAATGGTTCGAATCTGGTTAGTCACATTTCTATATATTAATATTGTGGTCCGATTTTGATAAGATTTTGCATATATATGAGTAGCTAGCCAAAGTAATAAATGCAGAGCTAGATATATCTTGATAAACAAGGAACTTTTCCATGCGGGACCGATCATTCTTATGGTAATTATATGATATAGTTGTCCGATAGGGGATGCAATTGAAAGGCGGACCTATACTGAGTTTAACGCCCTTAGCTTTAAAACGGAGAGACTACATCGCTATGAACTTGCCTGCTAATGCTGCTCTATATCTACTTTATGAGGTCGAATATGTCTCCTTCGATGCTTTACACATTTCGTGACAAAATAGTATCCTCTGGAAGTAAAAAAATTAGAAAATTTACGGCTCGAACCAGTTTGTCAACATTCAAAAGTATAATTTTAAATAATAACAAATATATACAAATCGGCTTTTTATGTTAACATATGCATAACTTTTTAAATAGTCTCAGTACGTGCTAAATATTGTGTATGTTGCAATAATATATTCAAATAAATAGTATATATATAGTATATATTTCAGTCTAAATGCGGCTGTTTTGTAGTTCAAGGCTCAGCTCACAGTAATAAAAACAAGAGGGGTATTCCCTATTTCATGGCGGCACGATTTAAGCCCGGTTTGCAGCTTTGCTTTATACGTCAAGACCCAGATTCAATCGCTCATAAATAATTGCTATTGTATTCATAATCGTTACTTTATATATTTATATAATATATGTGTGTGTACGTGTCTGTATTTGTGTAACTCGTATTGGCATGACAAAAAAAAAAAAAAAAAAAAAGAAGAACAAGAAGAGAAACAATTGCGCTTTTTCGACGCAGCATTTTTTTCTAGGCAAATTTAGGATCAGCAATTAATAAAAGCATATAAATAATTGCTAAAAGCTTGCTGTTCACGTTTCGTCTTCAATTGAAATAAAGTTGGCTGCATTTTTGGGCAATTTTGGTTAAACATTTTGTTGGTAACCTTCTATGCTCGGCGGACATACAATTAAAAAACACGTAACACGCGCTTGTGCCCTCTTCTGTTTGTTGTGTCCCGACTTTGAACTCTTCACACTCGATATACGATATCACCGAATATATATATATATGTATATATCATAACGTATACACACGTATAAACGTACCAAAAATCGTTTAACGATTTCTGCATCGCCAAAAACTCGAATTTGTAAGTAATGCACACAAAATAATCTGATAATCTGATTTTCTTTTTGCGCTTTGATTTGTATCTCTTTAATGATTTTTATTTTGTGTGTTGTCTAGGCCAATTGCTTATTCTGAATTATAATTATTATTTGTGAACGGCTTTGGATTAAACTTATTCGAAGCAATCTGTTGTGCTTACCATATATAGATGTATAATTATAATCTCTTGTTTATTTGTGTGTATGTTAGAGCTATTCCCCCACCAGTTGCATAAAAACAGGGTAATGCATAGGCAAGCCGAGACGTATTAAAATCAAAATCAAAAAAGTCATTAAAATATTGGTGAATGCAACAATAATACAAATTTCTTAACTGAACATAGCAAAGATTCAAAAAAATAACAAAATAATCAACTGCAAATCTTAAATTTTTGCATTTTTAATTATATATTATAAATATCTTGTTGTTTCAATTCCCCCCACCCAAAAACAAAAACAAAACAAAAAATTGTTGTCACTTGAACCTTGCCACGTAATCGCTGTCTATAGAAAATCACACTGGAGATCATACTCGTGAGTCATCATTATATCAGAAATATATTTTATACTCTCTGCATGCATTTGACATCTATTCTCAATCAATCTATTTATACGCCTAACTGCTTTTGCTTGACCGATTAAAGGACTTATTGACTGACTGACTGGCTGACTGATTGTCTGATGGATAATCAACGCGTATCTCAAACCGTTTCATGACATTAGTAAACTCTGTGAATATTTTAACAACAAATTTCATCCGTAAGTGCGGAAAATTGGTGGAATGCGGATCGACTTCAAAATCGTTTCTTACTTCCATCACACTTCTTCATTCCATTTATTCCATCCCTGGTAGACAAATGGGGGACACGACAAAATTTCCGTCCGCTTAAACTGTGTTTCAATTTTCAAATAAAGGTGTTCCTGTCACCAGACATGTTTCAACAATTTCTGTAAATCCACCCAATTGAGTTGAAATGGATGTCCAAACTTTAATGGTAATGTGTTGACTTTTCCACAGGTGGAACATGGGTGGCGCTACAATATTGAACATCGCAGTATTATTATTTTTTCATATTGTTTTTAATTACATCTAGCTTTTAATGGAAATATATTATTTACTATTTGGAAAACAATTATTGAAAATTATGTGCAAATTCTCTCATTTCATTGGCTCCATTTGCTTGCAAATAAAAAAAAACTTAATTTGTATTTATGTGCAAGTATCTATATCTGTCTTTGCGTCTCTGTGTAGGTGTGTTTAATTATTTATTAATTTTATTTGTACCCTGTAACAGTTCTGACTCCACACTGCAACGCACTCTAATTATTTCTGCTCTCTAAAATAGCAACTTTTCCCTCTATGTTTTAATGTTTATTGGTGTGCGTGTGTGTGCGTCTGCGACTCTGTGTTTGCATAAACATATATATATTTATGTATATGTAGCACATAAAGTAAACAACTGCCCAGAGGAAGCATGGCTTGCGGCAGTTCTTTGTGAAATACGGAGAACTAATTTATAATTTTACTTTCCTACCGCCGGCCCACAGACGATGAACTATTAGAGAAAATCAAGGAGGCGGAACAAAAGTCACCCAAAGATCTAACGGAACTGGAACGCATCCTGCTGATGAGCAGGCCACGAAATGGAGAGCTGACCACCACATACATACGCATTCGTGAGAGCCAGGAATTCAGGGTAACTCCAAGCTAATAGACGATAGACAATAGTCGATAGACAATAGACAATAGACTGTGTATGCCCAGTGCACTGTACTTGACAGGAGAACATCAACTCTAAATGCACACAATACACAATAGCTAACACAGACACAAAGATACCTACACACACACACTCACACACACATTTACTGACAAGCGATATAATGATCATTGTGTATATACCGCATAAGACAGCTTAATGGCCAAAGCTGTAGCTGTAATGCTCGTAACAATAACAACAACTACCTAAAAGGAGTCATCTAGTCGTTAGTATCCGACTAGGAAATACCCTGAGTCCAGGTTGGAGATGCCGTTTAAACATTCAAACCTTCTGCTGCCTCGTCTGGCTATTGCATACATATGCACAACTGCCAAACTCCCTTTTATGGACATTTTCAATGGGTATAGCGTATAAAAACGGCAACAACAACGACATCAACAACAACGATGACACAAAGTGGCTCAGGTGTCAAGTTGTTTCCCCTGACAGCTCAGCTAACACACCTGCCTAAAGCAAATAAGCACCTAATTGTGTCCAATCTTCAAATGAAATGCTTTGTTTCATTTTCATTGTGTGTGTGCGTGTGTGTGTTGTCTGCTGCATGAGGCGTATACTTGATATGCATTAAGTAGCCCCTCGTTGCGCACGCTGCGTATACGTAATATGTACAGTTAAGCCAATGCTTAATGGAAATTGTATTTCCATAGGCTACTGTGGACAAGCTTGTCGCCCGAGCCAACGTTTCTGCCGTGCTGGGCACATCCTCGTGGAAGGAGCAGTTCAAAGATGCGCTCACCGTTGTGCCAGGTAAACGATAGCCAACCATATGGACTGGTTTCTATTAAATATTTGTATACCCCCAGCGGATGAGAGTGAGTTTGATACCGATGAAGATGTGGAGGAGGATGTACCAAAATGCTTTGACTATATAAGCCATTTCGTTTGCCTATTTTGGAAGGTGCTCTTTGCATTTGTGCCGCCCACAGGTAGCGTGCCTCTTAATAAATTATAGTAAATCATTTATTATATAAAATCGCTTGCATTCCACAGACATATGCGGCGGATATGTCACCTTCGTTATTTCCATATTCGTTATTGGCGTTCTCACGGCCATCATCGGAGATGCAGCCACCTATTTTGGCTGTGTGCTCAACATCAAGGACTCGGTAACAGCCATTTGCTTTGTGGCCCTGGGCACCAGCATACCAGGTAGGCAACTTTTAAAACTAGCTGTAAAATGGTTCGATCAGTTTTGCTATTTTTGCATCAGATATATCTTTATGTAAAGGTGCCTGCCACCTTTTTATCCCCAAGATAAACTGGAGCTTAGCGAAATTAGGCTTCTCTTAGTGTTCATTAGTTTTGGAGAGGATCACTTTTTATACCCTGAACCCATTAAAAATGCGTATAAGGGTATATAGTATTTGTGCAAAATCCAAATGTATGTAACAGGCAGAAGGAAGTATCTCCGATCCCATAAAGTATATATATTCTTGATCAGCATCAATAGCCGAGTCGATCTAGCCATGTCCGTCTGTCTGTCCGTCCGTCCGTCCGTCCATCCGTATGTATGAACGCAAGGATCTCAGAACATATAAGAGCTATAGACTTGATGTAGGTGCTCCTAGTGCCTGCGCAGATTGAGTTTGTTTCCGATAATCGATAACTTACTCCGTTTCCAAGCAATATGACGTTTCAAAACGACAGAACTCCCTGCGGAGATATGACCTTCCAAATCATCACCCTTTTTTTTTTTTTTAAATCGAGGTCGGTGCGAATATCGAAACTTTTTCGATGATTTTTTTTTAATATCTCGTGTAAATAATGTCTGATTTTAAAATGTTCTACCTTTTTGAATGCGTACGGACCCCTACCATCAAATGGCATTCAAACAAATTAAACATCGATGGGTTCAAAAATGTTAAAGATAAAAAAAACATTAGTTTGTAAAGTCAACCTTTTTGATGATTTTTTGGAAAATTTCCGTCAAATAATGTCCAATTTTGGAATTTTATACCATTTTTAACACGTAAGGATCAGTTCTATCGATTGGCATCAAACAAAAAGGAAATCCAAAATTTTGACCCAAATCGACAAAATGGCACGCTTTGTTTCAAAATAGAGGTCGGTGCGAAAATCGAAACTTTTTTGATGATTCTACCCTGAACCCATTAAAAGTGGGTATAAGGGTATATTTTATTTGTGCAAAATCCAATCCTATAGACTTGAAATTTTAGATGTAAGTGCTCCTAGTGCCTGCGCAGATCGAGTTTGTTTCCGATAATCGATAACTTACTCCGCTTCCAAGCAATCGATAAAAATCAATATCGATATCCTGTTTTTTTGGCTATTTTGGTAAATAATAAGAGCTAGAGTCAGCAAACATTACATATAGCTTCTAAAATAGAATATATATATGCACTTGATGTTGGAAGAAGAGGGTTCAGGGTATCCTCTAGTCGGGAGCTCCCGACTAGAACCTCGCACTTGTTTATCCTTAAGATAACTCTTTTTATCCTCAAGATTAAGTGTAGCTTAAGGAAATAAGACTCCGCCCGGATACTTATAAATTTGACTTGCAGATACATTTGCCAGCATCATTGCGGCCAAACAGGATGAGACAGCCGACAATTGCATCGGAAATGTGACGGGCAGCAATGCGGTCAACGTGTTCCTCGGTATTGGCCTGGCATGGTCCATTGCCTCGATCTATCACATGGCGAATGGCACAACGTTTAATGTGGAGCCGGGCACGTGAGTCCCAGGAATCAAATACAGTTTGCTTACAAAAATTAAACTCAACTCTATTTCTCATCTCAGCATTGGCTTCGCTGTGGCGCTCTTCTGTGGCTCGGCCGTCATCGCTGTTGGCGTCATGATGTATCGACGTGTTAATAAATCCATACGCGCCGAGCTGGGTGGACCCAAAACTTCTAAGTGGATACATGCATCTATTTTGATATCCCTGTGGTGTATTTATCTAGTCGTGAGCACACTGGAAGCGTACGATATCATACAGATATAAAGCAGCCCAGACCCCAACAAACACTCACACACACACACACACACACACACACACACACACACACCTACACACCCATTTAGAATAGCTGTAGCGAAGCCGTAACAATAATCAAAATGCATAAGCGAAAACTTTGGCTTATATAAACAAATTGAAATCTGTTATATATATATATGTATAAATATTTATGTATGTATTAACGCTACTTAAATATTGATAATTATGTAAAATTTATGTTAATATTAAAAATTTAATGTTTAATTAGTTTCTAGGTGTGGCTTATTTTAATGAAACGGTTTTATTATATTACCTATATAGATTGTTTTAAGTATTGTAAATACAAGAAAGGCTGCCCGGGCTCAGCAAACAAGCAACGTGATCATTCAGAATTACAAAAACACATATATACAATACACACATACATACATATAAAGAGCATAGAAAATAACGATAAACGATATTTACTAGCTTGTGTGTATGTTTCAGTCGTTCTTTATGCAATTCAAGTCATTATTATTATTATGATTATAATTATGATTATAATTACGATTATGATTGTTGTTGTTTGTTATAGCTGTACTTAACATACACAGTATATACATATATATAAATAATGAATTGTCTCTCCATTAATTGTCACAAATCAGCCATTGTTAATTTAATACATGTGTAAGTGCTATTCTTTAAATATAAATGCATATATAACTAAAAATAAAAATAAATAAATAAATCAAATCTTAGCTCTTGAGCTAGCTACTTATTACCAACAACTATTTCTAGTCAATCGCACTTTTAGGCAACAAACTATTTAACAACTGCTTCTGTAGATTAAACTAAATTGACACTCAATAAAAAAAAATGAAAAACAATAAACTAATTAATGCTCAGACTCTAAACTCCGACCAATTGAAATTGCGGCACTTTTAGTACGACTATCAGTGTTAATTACACTGCACTACATAACTCTACTACTTACTTGAAAGACTTTCATTTACTTAGTCACCTTCTATTGAAACGATAGATCAAACGATAAATAGCAACTGATTGATAAACGATTAACGATAAACGATATTAAGGCAAAACACCAAAAGTTTGTTAAATGAATGTATTTTTTGTATAATGTTATTCTATTTTTTAATACAACATTTGAAATGGATACCAAAATAAAATACATAATAATCAAATACAAATACACAGAAAACCTACAAAAAAAAAACTAGAACCTTATGGGAAAATGCGCCAAATCTAGATATAATACCCAAAGATAAATAAAAATAAATAATATAAATATCGAATACATTTAAGTTATGAATAGCCGAAAAATGTATTTAATGCATATATCATCAATGTTTTGCTGTAAGCTTTGAAAATTAAATTGAATTTTTCAATTATTTCAATTCGATGTGGTTTTTGTTTTCAATTACTTTACAAATTTTACAATTTAATGGCAAACAGATCAATTTAGTAGGCTATGTGAGAGGGGAAGATTTTCCTATGAATTTCGTATATTCAAAATAATAATGCAGTTAACAGGCGATTCGTGTGGATCGTATCAGAATCAGGTTGATATTCGCTAACGGAAAATCAAATAGAATTTGACAGTACGAAATAGAACAGTCCAAAAGTAAAGCAAAAAGACAGCACTTAAATTATATAGTATATCTATACCAGACAGAAATTACGTATAAGGCATATATCTGATTAAATGGTTAACTGATTAACTTGAAGGCAAAGGCAAATAAAATGAGTAAAGTGCTTCCGATATAGAATTTAGGTATGTATTTCTATAGGATTAGCCAGAACGGGCTTAATAAGCACATGATATAAACTTGAAAGATCTTTCAAAACATATTCTTTTTATTCGTTCTATTTATGGTATACCTTGATTTCTTTTTATATTTCATTTAAAATTTAAACAATTTTCCTCTTGTTTCAAACCAAGCAAACAATTCGTATCGCTTATGTATTATACAATAATATATTTCTAGTATTAATCATTTCATGTTTGTTACGATGTATTTTGGACTTAAACTTTTCATTACATTTTGATATAGTATATACTAGTCTATATACGATTTATGATCAATAAAGAGCACTTTAACTTCAGATATTGTCTAGAATAAGCATTCGAAAAATCAATGAAAAAGAAATACCGAATAAATTTTCTACAATACACAATAAATATTCAAGGATTTAACATTTTCTCGAACTATATGATATGCAAAAATAAAAGCAAAATAAAATACTATAGACATAATATAGAAAAACAAAAATAATAATAATAATAAAAGTCCCACGACAAATTCGGAACCTAAGCCAAATATGCGAACCCTTTTAGCAGCAGCTACATACAAATTAAAACTATTCATACTCGAATGTGTGCACATTTTTATAAACATATATTAAATTTGATGTTTGACTACATACATATATTGAAAGCTAGTTCTTAGGCAATTCCACGACATTATTCAAAATCAAGTACAGAAATTGTTAAGTACATATGACATAAGTATATGTATTTCCAAGCATGTTAAACCCCTCCCAAACAAATGAAAATAAAAACAAATGTCTTAAACTCAACTTTGTAAGTAGAACATTGTATTCTTTATCTGCGATAAGTGTGCGTGTGTGGGGGGAGAAGGGCAGTCGCTTATCTATGGGGCCTGTCAATGCAGCTGTGACTCTGACCGTCGAACCTGGGCGACAATTGCCCGCAAATGCTGTTATGCAATCAACGGCAGACCTGCCAATTTCGAAAGATCAAAAAAAAAATATATATCATCTGAAAATTGCGCGCTACGATAAGCGAAATCAGCGCAAAAAGCTGGAGGCGGAAGATGAGCACAGATGAGGAAGATGACTCTGACAACGAGCACGACAACAACAACGCAACAGTCGAGATAAAGTTGTTTACAGGAATCTGAAAAAAATTCAAGAAAAAGGCAAATAACAATAAAAAGCAGCAAAGAAAAACTGCCTCAGCACGCCGACATTGCAATGCCCTTACAGACATGTATTTAATGTAAAGGTGCATATTTAAAATATGTCTATCAAAGATGCATCAAAGCTTGGTGAATCGGTTCACGGTTTGAATCAACGTCATGCTTCACATCAATTAATTGAGTTTTTGATTCGAGAAATGCTTTTCACTGTAAACATCATAAGGTCACACACATTTTATAAGCTTCTGCCGTGCGTTACATATATCTTTACGAAATTCATAATACCCTTTGGAAGTGTATAACTAAATGCAATGAAACCGGCAACGCAACGCAAAGCTAATTTAAGTTGGAAACAAAGCAAAAGCAAAGCCAGACGCCAGTTTCATTTGTCCAGCAGCGGAGCAGCCCGTCGCCTTCAGTGGAGTGCTTGCAGTCCACGGCCTCATACACAGACAGAGACAAAGTCAGAGTGGGAGGGAGCGTGAACGTGAAAGATGTCCTGTGATGAGAGAACAGCGCTGCTGGCGACGGGGCACCAGCGAGGACAGCGCAAAGAGCCGCACGACATCATTGTCGTGGCAGGCAAGGATCCAAAGGATTTTGAGCCCCTTTTCACAACTGCTGAGTAAACGCTTTACTGTCGCATTTCATTAAATAATAAATTCATGCCCTGCCCTCCACTTTCACTCGCACAACACATATTTTCGACAGCTTCTCGTACGGCCTAACGCTGGAAGAGCTGCTGCCCTTCGGTTTGGATCCCTGGTGGCAGAAAGTGCGTCGCCTGTGCTTTGCCTGCCTCTGGCTGACATTTATGCTGACCCTCTTGGCATCCCTGTGTCTGGCCTATTACCATGACAATGTCGCAGCCTGCCGGACTACAGAAGTACTTGCCACAACACTGTCACCGCCTGCCACACTCGCCCTGGCTACCAATGGCACCTTGCTGTTGCCCAGCTTATAGTTTGCTCTAATCTGCGCGCACAAATTGGAACTGGAACTCTTGATTACGATTGCTGCAATCCCACGGATTGGATTACATCAGCCGCCGCTTAAGTGCTCCACTTGGCAGCGGCTTCCCTCGGCACAGCTGGTGACTAAGCGATAAGCCGATTGCGATGCAAGCAGCTAAGCCAATTGATTGACTGTAACATTTAAATTATTATTAATTACGATTTATAACATATTTATATTTAACATTACAAACGAGATTGTAGATCAATTAAATTTGAATTGCAACTCTTGCAATTTAAGCTATATATTTGTCAATCAGTTTTCACCTGTGCAAGTGGAATTTACGAAATCTCGTAAACTTTTTATAATGGTTAAACAGGGTATACAGTATTTTTACAGGCATCTCCATCCACATAAAGTATATATATTCTTGATCAGCATCAATTGCCGAGTCGGTCTAGGCATGTCCGTTTGTCTGGCTTGATTAAAATTCTTAGATCACAGCTACAAAACTGATTCTAGATTTTATATGCACGTTTTTGATTCTGAAAAAAACAAAAATCAAACATTTTTGATTGCAATCAATTTTAAAGATTTTCACGAGTCCAAAGGAACATACATATTCCAGATTGAACTTCATTTAAATTTTCGAAAAAAGAATATAGGTTGAATAATATAGAATATAAAGAATCTTTTACAAGGTTATGATGAGTATGGCAGCAAATTGAAAATAATCGAGCTATCCTTGAATTTCAAAGTTATAAATAGTATTTATTATTCAGTTAGCTACAGATGCTTTATTTCCATGATCGAGCGCTCCATTTGTACTATTTATCGTAAAGAGCCGCACCAAGGTCATGGCTTGACTGAAGCCCGCCCTGTGCAGCTGGGGCTCCGCTTTCGCCTCCGACCAGGGCTGAAAATCAAACTGGAATCCTTCCAAGTCCACACAGTTCACATAGCGATTACCGTTCGCTCTGTGGCGCTCCATGAGATGTTGGCGCACGCGCTGGATACCATCGGAGTTGCGACATATGATGGCAGCCAGACTGGTCTTATATATTTCAGCCAGTTGAGCTGGGGATGGGAAATAGTTATCAATATAAGCTGAGACTTTATTTAAGGCATATTGAAATGTCTTACGCTTGCTAAACTTTTGTGGTCCCACTTTGCGCTCATACCAATGTGAATCGCCAAGCTTGAGGCGCATAAACTGATCCG